TTCTATTGTTTACCAGATTTATGGATAAAGGCCGAATTTACTGGAAAGAAATCGTGGAAAATTAATGTTTTTAGTAACATTCTTAACTTTTGAAGTTCAACAAAATTTTGTATTGACCAAAAATCTTGAATTGAAAGTTCCTATTTAACGTGTAATCGTGTAAAAATTCTTGGCCAAGAATCTGGTCAAATTCTGGTCACAGACTTGTCCAAGTCTGCCACCAGTCTGGATAAAGAATTTTGATCAAGAGTCTTGTTCAAGAATTGTCCAATTCTTTACAAAGTGCTTCTCCAAGTATCTTGACAAAGAATCTTGTCCAATTCCATTGCTACTAGGGTAAAATCATTTCTGGGAGAACTAATGGCGAGCTTTTTACATTTTTCATTCCTGGCTCAAAAGACTCTCTCGGTAGCCTAGCTTTGTTTTTGTAGTAATCCGATCGTGCTCGACTGTCCCATTCACAGAGGAAACAGCAGTATTTGGTATAACCTAGCTGCATCCCAAGCAAAATCGCCACAACTTTTAAATTCCCACAAATTTGCCATTTATATATTTCGTAGTGTATGGTTTCCAGTAGCATTTTCAAATTGCTATACGTTTCTTTCCTGTGGATTGCATGACTAAAGGCAACTTATTTTCATTATTCATAACACAACTTTAAGACTTATTTTTTTGAGGAATCAATTAAATGTCTCCATTGTTGCTATCGTGAGGCCAATAGTTTTTTTGGTAAATTCCTTATAAGGTCACTTAATTGACTCATTTTGTCAGGCACTACCTATACTGGGAAGTTTACAGACAAAATCTGATGGCCCTGCTAATTTTTCCGAAACACTACTGTTTGAATCCGTTTAATCATCAGAATGGGTTGGATTAGGTAAGGTCAACTTTTTGGATACTGTATCGAAAGTCCTTTTTTGATGGGAGGTGTCAAACAAAAGTAGCAGTCAGTAACGTGGTCTATCGGTTCTCGACAGATCAAAGGAACATCAAAATGGAATCTTACACTTTTTTCCACTTAGCCAGCCGCGAATGTTGGACGCAGCAGATATGGGGAGTCCAATTTTTATCCTGGTCTTCAACTTATAAAATTTATAAGTACTTTAAATAAAAATATACACCAAATCAAATTTCCATAGCCTACTACCTAATATCAATGGTAGAAAATTCACTTTTTAGTTAAAAGAAGCGTGAATTTTGCACTAAAAAAAACTGCACTTTTAAAAACATTTGTATAATTTTAGGTATATATATATATATATATATATATATATATATATATATATATATATATATTTTATGGTTAAAACAAAATATTACGCGTTAAAAAATTAATAAACAAAAAAGTTGCAAAAGGATTGCTAGAAACCGATTTGGTAATATTTTATGCAAACCGCTCAACATGGCCTCGCCTAATTTCTCAGGGTATTTAAATAAAAAAATATTATTGGGATTTTAGTTCATCCGAAGCATTGATCATTAGGTGAAATTTCATGGAATGACTTCTATAATGATAGGTAATTCATTATTTACGTTTGTTAGGCATCAGTGATTGGCCTATTTCAATATTCACTGTGATTTGAATCAGCCCGGTAAATAATAAATTTTATCACAAAAGTTTTTGTATGATAAGTGATTATTTAAAACATAACTCTACTACTCTACACTTTTCTTAAAGAACTTAATTTCATAAAATTAAATTTTTCTCAAATAAAAAAAATTATATATTTTACTTGGATATAAAAATAAATATAATTTTATTAATTTGGCATATCACAAAAATGACTTTGGTTTGGAAGCAGAGTTGCCACATCGCACGGAAAAGGACCTTGTGATGGAATAGGGAGAACCGTTAAGAGATTGGTTTCAAAAGCAAGCCTGCAAAGACCATAATATTATAAGGAATACATTTTATTACCTTTAGATATTGTAACAAGTACGGCTCTGGATCTCGGAATGATGACTCATCTCCGATGAGTCATCGCCGGTGAGTCAGCACTCGAATAATCGAGAGTGTGGAGCTCGCTGGAATGTTCCAGAAGACGTAGGCGCTGAATATATAAGGAACGACGCATCATGGAGAGCTTTGGTACTCGCGACGAAATAAATAAATATACGTGCAAATAAATAAACTCTTGAATAGTAGTAATATATAAATAATTAGTAGTTAAGTGTTTAGTTAGTTTTATAGTGTTTTAAGTGTAATTAAGTTATACAAATAAATAGTTTAGTTCGTTAATAAACCAGTGCGTGTTTTAATTAAATTAAATTAAACGAACAGTAAAAAAGTTACAATATGTTTTGCAACAAAAAATTAATCCTTGTACTTAAAAATACAAAAAGTTTTCATTCATTAGTGCCTAAAAATTTACAAATTATTCAGGTTCGAAGTACATCGGAATCAAACCTTTATAAAAATGAAAAATATTAAAAAGAACAAAATTTCCAGCATTAAAAAATCAATAATTTATGTTAAATTTTAATACGGTTACCCAATAGTGAATGTTATTAAATTTAAATTAACAACTACCCTGATAGCACACTTTATTCTAAGAATGTTTTTTAAACCTTCCAGTGAGAATATTCTTAGGATCATGCTATATTTCTTCTAAAGAACATGCTTAAAAGACATATAGCATGATCCTAAGAATATTCTTACTGGCCTATAGGCAGGTTCTTAGAAGGTGCAAAGTTTTAGTGGTAAAAATTGGTCTACTCTAAACATATGCTTAGAATGTTAAGAAAGTAACTGCTATAGAAAGTTCATTTAGGAATATTCCTGCTAAGCATATTTAGTTCAGTTACCTATATAATAGTAAAATATACCTACACTTAAGTACCTAATTAGTAATTAGTATTAAATACTAAGTAAAAAACACAATCCAAAATATTTTTTTATAGTTATTTGTTAAATTAAAGCAATATTCGATAACAAAAATACTTTTACTATAGGTATTTTATTTTATGTTAAAAATAAATATTTATTAATTTGTATACCGATTTTTTATTTCTAAATTAACATTTTTATGTATAATAATCCTAACTATCTCTAACTTCAATCTAATCTGACTTATCCCACAAAATTTTCCAATTTTACTTTTTATGATATAATGTCATACAACTTATGGTTTAGAGGTCAAATTGTTTATTTAACATTTTTAAATAAATATATATTAATATGTCGCAAACATTTTTAAGGGGATGACAAATACATTTCACTGTCATATTATGACAGTGAGGCGTATTTGTCGTCTCCTGAAGAATTCTACGAATGTAAAATACAACATATTAGAACGTGGGTATCTGACATATTTGGAAATATTCTGAAAAGCTTTTTAGAAGCTCCATAAGAAACCTTCTAAGAACATTCCAAAAACGTATTCTTAAAATGTTCTTAGGATGCTTTTTACGAAGGTTTTAAGAAGCTTTTAAGAATCTAATTGCATCATTACAAGGGTATCTATTGAATGTTTTAAAAGTCCCTAAGAACATTTTTAGCAATAAGGGAAGGTTCTAAGAATATTCCATTACTCCGGGTCATATCTTTCTTTGAAGATTCTTAAAATCAAATTTTGCTATCAGGGTACCTCAATAGATTAATAGATAAATTTAAGATTCCATGTAGAAAAATAATATAAACGTTACCTTTATCATAGTTTTGTTTTATAAATGCAGTAACACGTTAATATTTAAAGCATTGTTCACCATAAAAATAAACAAGTTCTCTGTTAAAAGTATTGCTAAAATACACATAATTATTCACTGCATAGTACCAAAATTGTTCTTGTGTTAACTTAAATAAGTGAATCTGATTGGTTGAAATTATTTAACAGTAATAAAAATAACATAGGCGATCCATCAATATGTAATCATTCTGTATCTTAAGATTACAATACAAATATTGTTTGTTTTATTTTATATTTTGTTAATTATAACAATAAAATAAATATTTAATGTTTATGTAGCTTAATTTTTAATATTTAAGATTACTTTTCATACACCTTTATATGGCATTTTTTTATCAAAGCCATCTTGATAAAAAATACCATAAAGTTTATATTGAGGAGAACATTCTGTTAAATTTTGAAGAATTTTCTTTCAGTCCCTCCGGATGTAAAAATGCATTTTTTTCGCCAAAAATGGGAAATTTTCATAATTAAGATGGTATTTCCTGCAAATTGGATACTTTTTTTTATAATTTTGCATTTTATATTTTATTCAATATTAAATATTATTTATAATTACTTTAAATAAAAATATACACCAATTCAAATTTTCATAGCCTACTAATATCAACAGTAGAAAATTGTCATTTTCAGTTAAAAGAAGCGTAAATTTAGGACTTAAAAAACTGCATTTGTAAAAAAATTTGTATAATTTTAGGCATATATTTAAAAAGTACATTGTTTTATGGTTAAAACAAAATATTACGCGATACAAAATATTAATAAACAACTAAGTTATAAAGGGTATTCTTAGACACCGATTTGGTAATTTTTTATGCAAACCGGTTAACATAGCCCTGCCTTCTTTCTCAGGGTCTTTAAATAAAAAAATATTATTGTGGTTTTTGTTCATCCTAAGCATTGGTCTTCACACCCTGAAAGTTTTAAGAAAATCCAATGAGGTCAGCTTTCAATTTTTGTCAAATTTGGTGAAAACCGATAGAATGACTATAGGTATACGGAAAAAAATTAATATTATCCAATAGGAGTAGATAAAATATTAAATAGTACAATAAAATAATAAATAAGGAATAAATTTGCATGACATTTTTAATAAATCTCTAAATGTACACAATGCTGACACCCATACATAAATAGAATATTCATTTAAACAAATTAACGAAATCTGTTTAAAAAACACAAGACCGCCATATTTAAACGTAACAAATCGCGGAAGAACGCTGTCCTCGTGCTAATAAAAGAACATCGCGCCGTTGCCGCATCTACCTACCGGTAGAGAGCGCCGCGCTCCAAAATTTAATTTATCGAAAAACCAGCTGTTCGAGGAGGGGCATAAAGGCCGTATCCTATCAGATTTTGACAGTCTAGTACTACGGTTGTATGTGAGGGTAGTGTACGTGCACGACGGCTTTTTTCTGTGTGTTTTATATGACTTTTGTGCCAAGTAGAGAAGTTTACCGGTAGTTTGGGGTGTTTGGAATAGGTAAGCGATACAATTTCATTCATAAATAACGCACACTTTGTGTCAGAATTGGACGATATTACATGTGCAATGTTTGTGAGATGGCACACAGAGCCGGTTTATTTGTGTATGTCTGTCTCTATCTACAGTGCGCTGTTTAGGCATTTCGGAAAATGTTTATTGTATATTTAACAAACAAAAATTGACAGTTTAGTTAAAAAACAAAAATCAAAACGAGCCTTAATTTTTTGGGTTAAATGTTTTTGACACAAAAAAATGACAGTTAAGTTAATAAACGAAAATCACAACAAGCCTTAATTGTTTTTGACACAATTTTAAACTTAAAAACTAAAGCTTGTTATAATTTTTGTTTCACAACTGCCAAATTTGTATTGATAAATTTATTGATTTATGCTATTATATCATATACTTTATATATAAAACTATGCATTTATTCATTTAAAATCATTCACAGACACACAAAACTAATTATCTTTCATGCAGCAAGACCTTTAAAGGCTATCTAGAGTCAAATATCAAATAAATACATTAAAAGCACAGACGAGCTTATTCTTCATAAACCGAAAACCAAAACAAATACCTAGTATCTAAAAAACGGCAATAAACATAAAAATAAATTGTAAATTTGCCATCTTCAAAAATAAATGACTTACCTACCTAGGTACAAACAATGGAAAAACTTTTTCCTTATTTTTATCCGAAAATAACATCAAAGCAAACTAGTTCTTTTGTGTTTTGGGGGTGTAAGGAGGTCTTTAAAAATGTTTGTTTGTAATTTCAACTCTGTCTGCCTTTAGATCGTATTAATTTCGACATTTATGTTTAAAAGAAAACTATTATTTTTTCTTTCATGTCTGTTTTATTCATTGGAATTAACAGAGGAGTGTTTTTTATTTAGAGGGTTATAAATTGGATTGTTTTGAGTTTTGTTAATATAGGAAATACCAAGCAACTCTAAATGTATTGAAATAAGTTATTATTATTATTATTTCAAATAATATTGCTGGGTTGACAGATGTACTGTTTTTGTAAATACCTTGCTATAATTAATGCAATTGAAAAGCCACCAAATGGATTAGTAATGGAGATTGTTTATGTTATAAAAATGATATTTAGTACAATAAAATAAAAAACTGTATTGTAGCGATATGTCAAATAATAGCTAATGGAATATAAATAAAAAATAACGTCTTGTAATTCAATATTTGTATGTATTATCGAATAATTATTTTTTCCTTTTAAAAATACATTACGAATTTTTTAAATGTTAAAACATTACAATGGATTACTGATGAGACTCATCCCCACCCTTTCAGTCTTTTGTTTTGTTCTCATTGTTCAATAACAAGCCGATGCGATTTTGTTTTTTCGTCAGAAACATTAAACTTTTCGTTCTTGGTGACATTTTAACGGATCGATCATGACATTTCACTTACCGGCTTTTACAAAATTTTACCTGATCTTGACTTTTTGCTGTTTTTTTCGACCACACATGTCTCAACAAGTAAAACACGTGTAATACAAGTGAACCTTAAGTGCACACACGAAAAAACAAATGAGCCGCCCAGATGTTTAAATGTTTTAATACGAGGGGAGGTTTACTTAAAATAAAACGAAACTGTGGTTCAAGACTTTTTGGTTTTTTTAAATTTGAGACTTTACTTTATATAAAAAATGATATTCATAGAAAACGATAAACCAATCAGAGCACAGCATTCTCCATCGCACACTAGGTAGCAAATTTGGATATTATTTAAGTCAACATTTATCTGTTAAACGTTCCGTGTCCTTAAAAGTTTAGGAATCGCTGCCCTACAGCATCGTTGTTGCATGTTATTTTTCCTGTTTAAACTTATCTAGCTGTTAAATCATAAGAATGTCTAATGTCAAACTCTACTTACGTACCATGGTACCATATTATTATCATATTTTTGTAAATTAATTAAACATTTAAAGCAGCCACTATTTTCATTGACTAAACTCGAGTTGACAATGTTGTTAGATTTAAAATTATTTAAATGTATGCAACTATAAAATTGCAATATGGCTAAAAGTAAACATACGTTTTAAAATTAAATATCTAATAGGAAATACAAAACAGTATTGAGCGACTCTGTATAATATTTAAACTAGTTATTTTATATTTTATAGAATTCTATAATTTAGCTTTATTATTGTCAAACTTTTAGGTCAGCACAAAAAGACTTACTTTTCAGCCTTATGACATAAATAACTATTATTAAATATTTTACATCAATAACATTGATCTAAATCTAAATGTAAAGTTCTTGTCAAAAAATGTGGCAAATATTGCATTTTTAAAAGTACATAATTTTTCCCAAAACTACTGAAAAACAGCATTTTTAATATTTACTATTTGAAACGCAAATTGAAAATTCTGGGTGTGCTACGTACGAACAGAGTCACTGCTTGACCACAGAAGCAAATAATTAATATACTTATTTTAATTATCTTATTTGTGACACAAGGTTTTTAATAAAAAAGTACTTTTTTGTAAATGAGAACCCCCTAATACTGTTTAAATTTTTAAATTAAACATGTTGACTAACCCTGGTATACACCATAACATCAAAGTGGTTATAAATAAGCCTAGTTGATTGATGTGTTATGTAAAGAAATTTGTAGGGGCGTTTTTTCACTAAAATGACACGATATGAGTGTGCTTTCAGATTTTTTCAGGGAGCGTCATTTTTTAGTATTAAGTCTTGAACGCCCAAAATGACATAAGTCCTTAGGTATAATGCCTTTCTTATTGATTTATGTATTTTTTTATACATTTATTATATTATGTTTTATTTATATGGTTCACACATTAGGATTTAAGATGTTTTTTATCCTGGTTTTCGAGAAATTTGATATTTTTTGGTAATTTGATCTTTTTAACGAGTGGAAAAAGGGTTAACCAGCTCGGAGAAGTATTTCTCATATGAAATGTCTTTTGGAGAGTATACCACATATTTGGTATATGCGTCTCATGTCAAAAACATAGAAAAAATAATATTGATAACGATTATTAAGATGTAATGTAATGATGCCCCGTCTCCATATAAGCCAGACATGGCCCGTGTGACCTTTTTTGTTCCCAAAAATAAAGAAAATCTTTTTATGGGGATAACATTGAAGTAGACAAATTCATAATGTATTTTCTCGCACAGAAAGTTTAAAATTGATTATTTTGTAGCAATATTTACAATATTTACTTTTCTTATATTGCAAGCATATATAGAAAACATATGCGAATTCCCATGCATATAGCTAGAGAGGGTTTACCTTTACCTAATTTAAATAAATTTGCATGTATATTTCCGTATTAACCCAAATACAAAATATTAAATTTCCCATCAAATGCATAGAAGCAAAACGATTTCAAACAATTTCAGACGCATCCTTATTAATAAAATTGATCATTCATTATAAATCAAAATAAATTTTATCTTATTTCTTTCATTCATTATAAATCAAAATAGAATTTATCTTGTTTCTTTGAATATTTGATTTTAACACGCATCACGGTGTATAAAATCAAAATATTAGTCGGAAAAATTTGTTCAAAAATATTTCGCACGCACTGGAAAAGTTAAGATTTAAACAGTATAATCATGCTGGTAGTCATAAATTAAAATTAACTTAGTAATGGTTTAATGTATCGTACGAAGCGATGGGACGGTAATTGTCGGTTTGGTGGAATCGAATGCTAGAAATGATTCACTTGATTTGTGGCAATTTGCGGTCGGCTGGTCAAAATAAGCTCCATTATCAACATTGAATTTGTCAATATTTACCTGGTAAAATACATTCAGGAAATTAAACGCAATATTTAGGGTTATATGTATTACATCACAAGGTAGTTTTTCTCGACAAAACTCGCTAAGCCATCTAAAAGTACTAGGTACTCTCCCCCTTTAAAATACTTTCTAAATTTTTTCAATATGTTTTTTTAGAAATCTGTAGTTGAACTTTTATGAATTTGGTTTAGGTAAAAATTTAATTTATCCTTTTGACTCTAAATTTTAAATTATGATTACTCGAAGAGGAGAAAAGATATTGGAAAAATGTAAAAAGCATTTTAAAGGGGAAATCAAGATTTTTCTTTTTTTTCTTTTTTTTTAGATAAAAGATGTTGATGAACAACCGGAATGAGGCAAATCCTTATGTTTAGAAAATGCAGCTCAATCAATGACGATAGAGACTATATAATCTAAATACATTATTTGATGTGGTCGTATGAAATACAGAATTAGCTACATTTTCATAGATTCTAAAACTTTGTTTAGAAACTGCTTCCCACTCTCTAAAAATTAATAAGTCATAAATGACTAATTTAATAGTTATTAGTGGCTTCTTTTTCACTTGTACCATGGTTAACCATGGAATACCATGGTATCCCAAAATTTAACAGCAAATTCTTATGTAAAATTGTCCCCTGAATCCGAAAAGTTAAAAAAGTAGAACAGTTCCTCTAATTTTTGATTAATTTCGGATTCAAGGGACAATTTTACATAAGAATTGGCTGTTAAATTTTGGGATACCATGGTATTCCATGGTTAACCATGGTGCAAGTGAAAAAGCAGCCACTTATAACTAATAAATTGATAATTTTAATTTTTAGAGAGCATACAACCGCAAACTTTTAAAAATCCTGTTAAAGATTTATAAAGCATCGTTCTGCATAAATACGAAGCGTTTTCCATTTGAAGTGCAGTGAAGTAAAGTAAATACTGTGTTGACTGGAAGTCGCGAATTTATCGATATTTAAAATTTCGTACGCCGAGGAAAAGAAAACCTTATTTTAACCGAAAACTTTGTTTCCGTAATAATGGCCCAAGTTTTGCAATATGCTAATGCAAACTCTCTGGGGTTTCGACTAAAATATTACTACTGTTTTTAGCGGAACAAACTGTTGTTTTAGTTTGCAGAAAAGTGGTTTAATATAAAGCCGTCCAGCTGTTGGTAAAGAAACTTAATCACACTTAATAATT